GGCTGCTAGGATTATGAATTACCCTGCCATGTGTGCCAGCTGTGGTGAACAATATGCACTGATCTACCTTGCAAATTAAATTTTGAACTGCTGTATCTTTCCCAGTAAGCCATTTAAGAGAAATAACAGTGCTAAGCTCAGATAGCTATAATGCCATGCCATGATATTCATCGTTGATCACCACAATTCATCCGATTGAAATTTCAGGCTTGTAACCCTCCGTCCTTTCCTCCCCTCAAGGCCTGCAGCATCAATCTGTACTCTGCAACATCTGGGAGGAGACTCCTGGACACCTCCATCACCTACCACACGGACCCCAGTGGTGGGCGGCCAGAGAGAGTGAGTAGGACAGTCACCTCACTCCGCACAAGCCCCTACCCCAGCTGGGCTGTGCAGCCCAGTGCAGTGTACATAGGGGTCTTGGTTTAGAAAGACAAAATAACTCTTAAGTTACAAGGCGGGAATACATGTGCAATACTTTTGCTGTCATTTCAATGCCTTCTCTTCCAATTTCCAGTAGCTGTCAGTCAGTTAGTAGTTTTTTTTCCTTCATCAAGCCCGGAATTAATCAGTGTGCATAAGTGCACCCCATAGTGTAGTTCTTAAAATCTCAAAACATCCAGAATCTCAAAAGTACTCATTGATCCTTGAGTATGTTTAAGATAAGACTATGAGATTTTATCTGTCACTTGAGTTTGGTCCATAGTATAAACTCAGTGCCAAAGTGAGGCACAGTGTAATCCCATGGTTCGTATGCTATCAGGATCCTTCTCTAGTTTGAAGTGGGGCATAGCTGTAGAAACAAACATGGTAAAAGTCAAATATAAATTGAAAACAACGCAAAAAAAATCTGTTTAGGTGATTATCTTGAGGATATAGACAACTTTTAGTCTAGAGTGTCAATAAAGGGAAAAAATATATAGTAACATTTTGGTTTTCTTTAAAAAATAACTACTTGATGTTATAGTCCGGGAGCTGAAACTTCATTTGATTTAGAAGCAAACATAAATATGAAAGAAGCACCAACATTGATCCTCAGTTCTCTGGGTTGTCCAGTCACCCAGGCATGTTTTTAAACATCCTAATTTCTGTTTTTACCAACGATAATCCTTTATTTGCAGTTGGAGTTCCCTGCTTTGGTGTTACCAGGTGTATGGTTTGGAATAATGTTATAATCATAGTTCCACATTATATTGTCATTATCAGGTGTGCTCCTATGGTAAATTAAAGTTCTGACTGACACTGGAGGAGTGTGAAAGCCCTGCCCTGGTCCTCCTCCATGCCCAGACCATACCTGCAGCTCCAGAGTGGTGCAGCTGCTCTGAATCAGAGAGGCAGGAGCTCCGAGTTAAACATCTGCCACCTTTCCTCCTTCTCAGCTCTATGTACACGCGTTCCTGAAGAAAGATGACTCTGTTGGCTACCGGGTCTTGGTACAGACTGAGGATCATGCCCTGACCTTCATTCAGCAGCCAGGTAGGAGAAGGAAGCCCAGGTGTTGCTGTCCCTGTGAGGTACAGTCAGAGATTCCAGTTTCGGCTCCAGGGTGGTCAACTTGTGCTTCATCTGTGGCGAATCAAGATCTAAATTCCATTGATCAGAACTCAGATTCTGCAGAAATTACCTACATGATCCAGTTGCTTATATCAGACCATGCATATATTTGTTTGGTAATTGCTGCTTCCTTTGGATAGGAAAGGGGATCTTGTAGAATATATAATACTTTTATTTCTGTGTCTCACCGGAAAACAATCTCTTCATTGTGGCTGAATTTTCCTTCAATTTATTGTCAGCGTCCGTGAACACAGAATAGGAAGAGGGTGGTCGTGAGAGAGGCTCCCTCCTTCAGAGAAAGGTGGAGAAATCTATGCGTGCGAGCTGTGTGTTGTCTGCGGAGCGTCTGGTAATGGCTTCCTGTCTCAGGGAGGGTGCTGTGGTCCAGGGAAGAGGCTCTGGCAGAGGTCGTTACCATGGAGATGGTGGATCT